GCTCTATAAATGATTTCTTGACTTCCTCCAGCAGCCTCAGCTGGCATGAGACAGGTCTTCTGAGGGCATCTCCCACGCCACCAGCAGTGCGAGCCCACATGAGCCAAAAGCCTGAGGTCTCCTTACAACTGCCAACACAGAAAATGTACAAACACATGGTTAATGATCTTAGCAAAGACTCAGTTCAGGGGCCTTGAATGTCAACTGTTTTCACATTTACCCTCTTCTTTATAATGACAAGGGTTATAAACATAAAGGGGGAAGGCTCAAGAGATGTTTAGGGTTTTTTTTTCTTTTGAGTTGGCAAACTGGGGCTCTTGGGAGAGACCAAGAGACCAAGGCTCAAGTAAATTCACATTTCTCAAAATTATACCGAAGGGGGGGGTAACATAGTATATTTGAGGTACCTTACACCATTCTGCAATGCTGGGGTACCTGACGCCCCAGAACAGCTCTGCACAAGCCTCAGAAAAAAAGGGAAGGAATGAGAGGCAGCCACATGAGCCCTCTCCTGGTGCTCCTGTAGTGTGTGCAGCTTCGCCAAACCAGAAACTGCTCCAACGAGGGGGTAATTTGTCTTGTTTTATTCAATTAAGCTTATTTGCATATCTGAGTTAAATCTTTTCTCCTGTTATTCTAGCAGCAAATGCACACCAAGATATACAGTGATACACTGAGTGGAAAATCGTGTGTTTGTGTATGCCCATCACCGAAGTCAATCATAATAAAAGATATGACAAATTATGTGATTCCTTCTCAAAATTGAATCCTGTGATGTTTATGCAGAGCATAAGGATACTTATGCCTTTAATGCAACAAGCCTGCTTTCTATTTACGTAGATGAGTGAAACATTGCCCTGGCATTACACAGAGTAAAGTGTGCAAATTCTAAACCCTTCCATAGTCCCTGCATATAAGAGTGCATTCATATGTTTGTGTTTAACATGAACAAATTTATGATCTGATGTGGATTCCTCTGAGTACAGATGTATTCCAACTATTTGCTGAATCCTAATTTTGAAGGAACAAATGTGAGTGCTTTGGGATGGAAAAAAAAAAAAAACATGGTTATTTTCTATTTATTTTAAAGGGTTTCAGTGCAGTGCAGGCTCTTTCATTAAGAGCTGGGTTGAGTGTTGTCTGTGAGAGTTTAAAGGTTTCAGGTAGTGAGAATTAGCATATTAGTAGAATGTCAAAATTCAGAAAGTAAATCAAACACCTCCAGATCTATTTGTTCATTTTTTGTAACTGCAGATAGTCTAGGTTTTATGAACACTGCCAATAGAAACATACACAAATCCTGTTGACACTGCCAAGAGTGGCATAAAGTAATCTGCATAAATCCACAGCATTACCCTCAAAATCATTTCAGACAAAAATTGCATGTTTTGTGATTAGGGCTTCTGTAGGAAAGCAGAGAGGGAGAAAAATGATTGCGTCCCCTGCGTGTAGCCATTCATCTCCCTGATGGAGTTTCCCCATACATGAAGGAATCATTGTGGATATTAATTCAGCTCTTGTTCTCAGTTGCACACAGATGCCCACTGCCCAAGGCCTGTGCTCTCCATCCCTTTCAGCTGGATTGTTTCCCTTGATGTTACATACAGGGAGACAAGGAGCAGCCCAGCTTTCTTAGTGCCTTAAGTCAATCTTAAAGCCTTTCCGTTCTGATAATGTGGCTTAGAGGGCTCACTGCAGATCCCAGAGCATACATTCCAGTATGCCGGTTGTGGTTCAGGTTAGAGATAACTACATTAGAATAGAATATATTTTAGGTTCAGGATCAAAGTTTACATCTGAGGCCAAATCAAGGGAAAAGTCTGACATTTCAGTAATCATGAAAAAAGTTCTAATCATACTGATATGCTCTTGGTTTCCACAGTGCCAGTAATCTCTCAGATCAATCTGATTTGCCTGGAACTTTTGCCATCTTGAAAAGCGGGAAATGGAGAAAGGCAGGTATTTGCATAGTTTTAAATCTGCTCTGGAACAAGACCCATTGGAGCAGAATTAAAAAAATCTGAATCCAAACGCATCTTTAAATCTAATGGGGATTGTACTCCTGTGTTTCTTTTGTCCTATTTCTCACACATACAAAGACATATTTTTCAACAGTCAGTCATCTGCATCAAACTTACATGCCCAGTGTTGTTTGTTTTGACGCAGTTGGCCACATTCCCATTGATTTCAGTTGGAGGAAGGTCAGAACTAATGTGTGTTACCAAAAACATGCAAACCCATATTCTGGCTGGCAATTATTTAAAGAGCTACGGAGCTTTTAGCAAATCAAAGCATATAAAGTGTCTTTGATATGACTAATTTGCCTGCATGTCAGAAAGAAAATGTTCATGATATTGTGTGCCTTCCTGAAATACCCATTTGATGGAAATATTCTGTCTTCTAGTTAACGGTTTTGTCTTTCCCTTGGAGACCTTCCTCTGTGTGCAAGCCAGCACCTTGTTCTAAAAGCCTTTTCTTGAAAGCAAACACCTCAAGTCACCTAACTGAACCAAACCTAACAGAATGTTTTGCTGTCCCTGATTATTGCCCTCACTGAGAGCAGGTGATCATGGACTTTCTGATCTAAGAAAGAAAGGTCAAATGCTGCTTTCAACAAAGTTGGGGTGGTGTTTCTTGCAGGTGAAGCAATAAAAGGGCTAAGATCATATGATGAAGTAGTTAGTGCCCTTACCACCATGACTTTGAAACACAGCAAAGGCCACTTTGCAAGAGAAGTCCCACACTGTTACTGAGGGACATTTAACAGCAGATGCATGAACCAGATTCAGTTCAACCAAACACATAGTACAGGAATCAGCACTAAAGATGTGCATTTCTCTGCTTGCCAGAGGTAGAAACCCAAAACAGCTGCGGACTGCTGAGTCTCTCAGTCAATTAAAAATAAAACTGCTGGACATTGCTTTAATGCTGATCAAGAGGAAGGACAACTCAGACGTTGTTGTGGCAGTAGAGAATTTAAAATTAACTAACAGTTAACTAACACATAAGGTGAATGCAGGCTAGGAAAGTCCAGAAAAGCAGCTACCTGGAGGCAATGGTGAATTTTGCTAGAGGTTTTTAGGCTGTGTGCCTAATTCCCATGGAGAGTCATGAAAGATAGTATCCAGATTATAGGTTTGCATTTATTTTTTACAAAGAAAAGAGTTTGATCCCTGTTTAAAGGTGAAACTCACATCATCTGAAAGACAGGGCTCTTATTTTTAGAGGTAACATACTTTATGTTTCTGGCAGCAGATCCAAGGCAGGAATTTTTCAAGCTCCTTTGTGTTTCAACTTTTTAAGTTCAATTCACTTTGCTGCTCTCAGAACACAGAATTTATATGTATCGCAAAATCTCAAATTACCTACAGCTTTGATACATATGTTACCAGATAAATCACTGCAAATATATGTACATGTATTTGTGTATTATTCTTCCCTAAGGAAATGAGCCTGTGCAATCACACAGTTTATCTCCTAACTTTGGAAACCTTTCCCAAATGTCAACCACATTAGACAAAGGATTACAGGTCAGAGAAATAACTAAGTTCCTAGAAATAGAGTGATAATCAGTAGCCAGGTCAGTGCAATAGGTGAGTCAGGAGGGCAGGCCAAGTTTTGCAATTAAACCCTCTGTGTAGCAGCAGGCATCTGGCCAAAGAGTATGCAGGAACTACCCAGACAGTTGGGGTATGAGTAGCTACTAATAATTGTATCTTCCTCACTAAGTGTCAGGTGTTTTTACAATGCAAGAAATTTAATGGACAGAAGGAAATAAATCTGAAGGCAACCATGTCTCACTTGACCTATTGCTTACAGAGCAACTTGCTCAGGAAATGCAATTGCTTCACCCTGGAGCTTATTAGTTCATGGGAGAATTGACTTTAATTATGCATCTTCCTTTGTCGCAGTTCTGCCTGTGCCATATCACATGCCATAGAAAGCAATTTGAGATATGCTAAAAAGAAGTATAGTCTACTATCAAATTTGCATTGTTTCATAAATGGCAGGCCTTTTCTTGGAACAGTAAGCCATTTAATGCCTGGTTTGAAGGAAGGATGAAACTCTAAAGTATCATGTTGTCCATAAAATATGCTGTACATAATTATATTAAAAAACAAGCAAACAAACAAACAAACAAAACAAAACCTGAAATGGTGATTATCTTTCCTCATCCTTCAGGTTATGTCAAAGATCAACAGTGTGGACATCCAGTGTCCACAGTGTGGACATCATTAATTAGCCAAGGCAGAGCACTTGTGTAGCAGCATAAATTATACACATACTTTAAAAATCCAATAGCAAATCCTCATGAAGTTATTTCACCCTTAATATCTCATGGAAAGATACCCAAACACCCATTATGTTAACATAACAAAATGGAAGTTCTAGACCTTGTCCTTGTTACAGCAGCAACATTTATTAACCAGATATCTTTTTCTGTTACTGAAAGAAGACATAGAAGAAATCTTTTCATTCATGACTTTTTTTCTAGGATGTAAGAAGGTGGATTTAACAACCTGTCTATATTTTATTGCGCTACATACTATACAGCCACGACAAGCAATACAGAGGGATAATTCCTAGGTCCTCAAGTTTCCCTAAAGGACTGGGAAAAGTAATTGTCAAAAAATTGGTATGTTTGTTTACAGAATAATATGATATAAGCTTTTCAGTAAGAACATGGAAAACAAAAGAAATATTTCTAAGGTCAGGTATAACGTTAAGGAAGCAAGACATTATGTTGGGAAATGTGTGGAAAGCTTCATCTTAAGTTCACTTGGAGCCAGTTTTAGCTGAAGAAGAATTTATGAAGCATCATTAAAATTCCTCTTTTCAACCTTCCAGCATGTTCTCTTCCCAGAAAAATAAGTTTTCCAAAATGTGATAGATATACATAGTAAGGAATACACCTAAATATAAATGCTTAACTGGGGTTTCACAACACACATTTGTATAAATTATAGAGTTTTTCTCAAGAATTTGCAAACTTACAAATCTTTCCACAAATTATCCTTGAGAAATCATTATCTGGAATTCAGCCTACAGCTCTTGACCTTTGAGGTGCTGTCCATCTTTCCAGTCAACATCATAGTCACATATTGGCATAGTGGATTCTGCAAGCACAAGACGTTTCCTGGTAATTTCAACTGAATTCTGGTGTTTTAACTGTTAAGTTAAAAGAAATGCTTTGCACATTTGTAGGAAGAAATGCAAATCTTGCATAGTGAAATTCAGAACAGAGCACGAAAGCGCAGGTAACATTAGACATATGTTTTCTTGAACTGGGACTTCAGTTTTTAACACAAAGAAAATAAATTAATTTTCAGTCACTCTGAAGAATAATCCAAAACTGATTGTAGCTAGCATTACCCCTTTCCGTGACTTTCCTGGGCTTGTACCTATCTTTCTTCCTTGTGACTAAAAAACAGAATATCCACCTTATTTTGAGTTTCTCAAGGAGTGAAGGGAAGCTGATTTGTGCTACAGATATAGTCTAATATTATTGTGACGTATTCTGTTGCTCATGAGTGTTCTGTAGTTGCGTAGATTATGTAGTTTAAAAAGTGAAAGAACAGCATTTTGAAAGGGAGAGTTTTTAGATTTTGTTGGACAAAACCAACTCTCATATCTTGTAAGTGGAAAATGTTAAATCTACTTGATCCAGTGCATTATCCAAATTCAGTAAACCTTTGAAGGTTTCAGACAGTTCACCCAGTTTTTCCTAACATTCCTGTATGAGGATTCAGTATCCTTGGTCTCTGAAACCACTTCTACAAGGCACAGTGTATTAAACTTTTTAGAGATTATTTGTGGAAAAATGGTTTCTTTGTCATTCAAGATGTGTTTTTAGGCCTATAATTTCCTTCAAGTGAGCACAATTCCGCTAACAGCAGTATATTATTTTGACAGTAAGTCAGTTGGCATAAGACTTCATTGTGTATGCCTTTTGTTTATATAATCCTTCCTAACAGTAACAAGGTGTTTACTGTTCAGCAAACACATTTTATTTTAACTGCCAACAGTAAAACTGTCTGATAAAGTTTGATTTAACTAAAGAAAGCAAGTTCTCATTTAGCCCAAATAAATCCATGGTGCTACAGACAGCTGTTTGGAGTACATAATCCCCCAAGCTCTTATAGCAAGGCAACTCTTGCTATTGAATGAGCGAGAGAGAGCAGGCTCAGCTGTTCAGGATGTGCTCCATTACAACTGTAATCTATAGCATCGTACTGCCATATTGTGAAAGCATTACTCACATTCAGCAGCAGTGAAGCAAATACTCCTCTGACAGATGCTCTGCAGACTGACAGCTGACACCCTAAGCTGAGCTCTATAGATTTTTCACTAAACACATCCTGCAGCCCGGATCGATGTCTGGCTGTCTGCTTCCCCCTGCTCTCCTACGAAGAGATCAACATCTAATACCATTTCTGCAAGATTCTCAGGGAGTTAACTGTCTCCAAGTGGAAAAAGTTCAGATTTCAGAGAAACAAAGAATGCTTCTCAAAATAACAGCATTTTGCTGCTTGAGAGAAAAAGAATTCATAAGCCTAAAGGCATTTTTATTCCATTTTATGGCTGACTTTATCCTGGAGAAATTTGCCAAAGAAATCTGATTTTTAAGGCTGTTATTGTAAAAACTTTTGAGAGCACCACGGGAGAAATAGCTGATCTGTCATATAGAGTCCAAAAAAGTTGTCTGTAGCAAATGAAAAGCAAAATAGACTCCAGTATTTGCTTCCTGCCAAAATCAGAATATGTAGCAAGAGTATGTACACAGACAGAAATCAGGATGTGCATGATAAGCCACTGCTGTACTTATACTCTAAAGAAAAAGCTATAGAATGAATCATTTTACCTTAACAGCTATAGTAATCTTCTAACCTTAACCTCAAAGCACTGGTAAAGTAGTTTACTTTGCCCCTCCCCCTTTGTTCTTTTATACAACTGCTTCATTAAGACTGTTCCTGCTCCCATCGAAGACACCGGCAGAATTCCTGTGATTCACTGAGAACAGAAGCTGGTCCATAAAGCAGTTGTGGTTTGGAAAATGTTTTCAGGAAAGATAATCAGTTCAAAGCTGAAAAGCAGTCACTTACCTGCAGTGAACATAAGGAACAAGCCCAGAAAATAATACAAATTGGTTTTGAAGTATATCAAGGAAGGTTTCATTATAACCTCTCTGGTGGAATTTAGGGGCATTTGGGTTGTGTTTTGTTCTCTTGGTATTATTTGTGCCACTTTCAAACAGTCTTGATTCCAGTATTATAACCTTACATCAGATCTGGAAGTTTCTGGCAGGGCAAATAGCACATGTTGCTTGGAAAGACAGATGTCTGTGCCTTCTTGCAGATGGATTACTAGAGTAAATTGCAAAGAACTTAAATTCTTCCTTCTGACTGAGGAGGTTCATGTTCTGAAAGCACATCTTGTGGCTGCTTTTCGACTTTCAGTGCGTTGTTTCACTCCTTGTTGTATCTTTACACTCACATAGCATTAGAATTTTGCAAATGTATATATGAAAGGTAAATGGTTTTGTGATGATGTCATACTTGAATGAAGATTACTCATTTAAGTGTGGTGGGTTGACGCCCTAACCCTTGAGCACACCATGACATGAAGGAAAGTAGACACTCTGTGTCTTCGCATTGTCATATCAGAAACCTGAGTTGTCTCTACAACACCAGCCCTGATAACAACAAAAATTCCGTTCAAAATCACTCACCTTCTGCAATATTTGCTAAAAAATTATAAAAATATTTCCTGCTCTTACAGCAGCTTTGCTGATGTAAGTGAATTTGTATTGAACATCTCAATGCACAGTGTTACATACCTGTTGGGATACTTGTATCAGAACTGGGCCAGCAAAGTCCTCAGTGCATTACAGCTTAACTGATGCCATGCTTGAATACATGGTGTATCTAATTTATAAATGAAGAAGATTTACAGGAAGATGTCCTTGTACAGGAATACACTGCTGTAACATAAGTATATACCATTACTTAATCAATAAAACCGTACATTAAACATTGTACACTGAGAAGAGAAAGTATTTAAAGATAATTACCAAATCATTGCACTCATCAAAAAATCAACAAAACACAACTTATTCAATGGATTAGAGAGATCTTTGTCAGAAGGGTATGCCCTTGCTTCAAATAAACTGATATAGCTCTAGTTAGGCAAAATCATTAAATTGCACTGCTTCATATAAGGAGCTATTAAAATCTCATCCATTTAGATAGCTGAAAGCAAAGGAATGTGCGGTCCCAAATTAAAAACTGGCAAAGAGCAAATTTGGCTTGCAAGGAGATATGAGACACACTTGGCCCATAATCATATTGCCCAAATCATGTATCTTGTCACAAAATCATCCCAACAGTTCAGAGACAGTTTCAGACTTTATTTGATCCTTTTAGAATCAGAATAAGCAGTTTTTATAGGGTCCTATTTCCCCTTTAAAGTCTTTTATAGCTGTTACTGTTACACATTTGACAGCATCACCTCCAGTGATCATTCTCCTGCTGACGCTGATGTTAGCGTGCAAACAAAAAATTCTGGCCATAAATGGTTTAATTGTTGCAGTTGGGCTTATAACAGAATCTCTTCCAAATAGGGAAGATAGAACTAGTGAGCCTTTAAAATTATTTTTGCTGTGAGAAACACTGTTCTCATGAGTCTGTCTAGATACAGGTCTGTGTAGGCTGCCTTTTAGTCATAAACACATGTAAGAAAAAATTCAGGGTACATTTTTTTCTAGTTCCACAGTAACCTACTATAGTAATAATGTTCCACTTTTTAAAGCAGCTTCCAGATAAGAATTTCAAGGAATTTGCAAATGATGATGCCATTTTCCAAAGCGAGAAATAATGATAAATAGCCAGCTGCTTAGAGACAGCCTTGTCCAGTCATTGACCTTAACACAGCTGCAGCAAGGGTTCATGTAGATTTGGGGAAGAAAGGTGTGCTAGGACTTCATCAGCATGCAGGCATTTCAGGGGCTTAATGCCAAGGGCACCACTGGCTCCTGGCCTGTAGTCCCCAGAGCTCCCTGCTGAAGGAGAGCAGCAGATGACATGCTGACCATAAGGGCTTGCTGCATGGTCCTGGAGTGCTCTACTTTGCCTGGAAAAGCAAGCACAGAGCAGCACAGAAAGGCAAGGAATTCGTACTCTGTGCTGAGACTCAGCATCTTCCTCCCCAGAAGGCCTGGAGAAACAGAGACACAGTCAACAGTTTGTCAGTCCATATTCTCCCTGGTCTCTCCTCAATCCCTCCAGCAGAGCAGAGGGTTTGATAGAGGATGTTCTCAAAATACTGCCTTTTTCCTCAGTGGATCAGAAAGGCAGCAAGGAAACCGTGAAGGGGAGGAACAACCAGCAGCAGTTGCAGTGGCACTGGGACCCAGTGTCAACACACTAGTTATGAAACAATCCACTTAAAGATGCAAGTGAGAGCATATATGCACCAATCAACCAAAACAAAAATTAACTTCTCAGCAATGTTTTTTCCTAAGGCTTGCAGTCACTATGAGGACTCAGATATTAATGAGGCTGTTGCTCTAAGCATCCTGAACACTCGAGTCAGACTGACCTTGGCCGGACATGGCAGCCTGTACAATAGGCTTTGTATCTTCTTGTCTTTCTACAGATCTTGCAGAAAACATTCACACCTGCATGGAGCATGTCTGTAGAAAAGGCATGAAAATCTTCACTGATATTTTCAAGCATTCAAAATAAGTAAGGCTGAAATGAAACATTATGCCTGAAGGGCTGGCACCAGCCTTTAGAAAGACTTAATACTACTTCAATTCTACTGGGGGGGGGGGCTGAAATATTTTGAAAACTTTGACTGATGTGTAGGAGGGTGGCTTTTATTCTCTTGTAGTGAAATACACCATCATCAGCACCTGAGAATAGAAAAGTATGTCTCTGAATATCTCATTTGAGGATTATTTTTTCTCAAAGTTTGGTAATCCCCAAAATGAAGGACTTCTCTCATACTTAGAAATTTCCTAGAAGAGTCTTTATAACCTTCTTCATAACCATCAATCTCTACCATTATATTAAAACAAATTATGTTGAAAGCTGTTGAGAACAACTTACATATACTAAATACAGCCTATAGAAATTGTGGAGGAAAAGTAACAGGAAAGATAGCATGCATGACTATAAAATAATTTAACTCTCTTAGAGAGGAATCTGGGCATATCTGCTTTATGTGTGTGCTGCAAACACTATATTAACTGTGGCAGTAGAAGTACATCAAACAAGAACCAGATACATCACAGAATTCTTTACTGCTCAGATTTTTATATTAAATCTCGCAACTGGCTTTATATTATTGTTGTTTCAAAATCTCTATGAGTTTTCTGGTCCTTGTCTTCAAGATTGCACACATGTGATTAACAGCCGTGCATTCTCAGGGAGCATGAAGATCTACTAAGTTCTGCAATATTTTCAGGTCTGCCCATCAGCTTCCAGCTCTTTAATATATACTCATTATTGTTATAGATGCAGTATGTATTGATTCTTTGAAAAAAGGTTAGAAGTGGAAGAGACCCACCATGCCAAACACTGAGACAAGGTTAAGATGTCAGACATTTCACAATCAAGTACCTTTAGGCCATTTGACATTGCTGGGTGTTTTCTTTAGTTCCTTGAGGAAATTATTTCATCACCCAGAAGAGCAAAGCATGGGGGAATTTTTACCTGAAACTTCACACAGGTTTTCCTTGTCCAAATTAAACCATTTCATCTGTGTGGAGCTACCAGTCAATAGCTCCTCCTTCATGCAATTTAAGACTGCAGAAGAGAAGACTGGAAAAATTACAGCCAAGCATATTATTCTTGTGCCAGTGCTTCAGCTGCATAGCTTTCAGTGTGAACCTCACACGTAGTCTCTCAGGAACCTGTAGCTGGTACAAGAAAATTTTATTTCACATCAAAAGCCACTATACTTCTATTTTATATCTCTTGCATATACACAAATACATAGAGTCTTAAACCGAATTAGACCAAAGAGGTCATATGCACATCCTTAGAGAGAGAAAGCTCAGTCCTGACAGTATTATATGTTTTGACTTCAGCTGTGTGCATGTTTATAGAGGCATATGCATGTGTGTTCTGTCATCATATGGTATCACTGCATTCAGGACAGCTGAAGCTATAAGCTTATCCTTTCTGCATATTTATGTGACAGGAATGTGGAAGCTCTCCGATTAAACAGAAGTTTCACAACAATCTTCTTCAATTCTCTCCCACCCAGAGAGAAATGTTTTCTGCATTTCACAATCAGCACTTCAGCATTTACAACATATCATCTCTCCCTCTTTCTAGATTGGGATTTCTGAGCCCCTGTTTGGAGTATAGTGCATGCATCCATTTCTTCTGTACATGGCCAGAAAGGATGAGCCACAATCTTTCCTGAGCTTGAATGCACTCCCCTCAGAAGTCCTGTATAAGTACCTGAGAAGAGAAAGTCTTTGCAGGTTTCTAGGGTTTCTTTTACCCCTTTATCCAGAAGCTGTTGGTCCAAAACTTCTCTTCACTCAGAGTCTGCACTGTAACAGATATTAACAAATGTTTCTATGAAAAGGGATTTTCAGATGAAATCACCTAAGAAACCAAGAGAAGTCTTGTGACTGCTCTACCTGGGACCATTTTGTGCCTGGAATAAAGTGCCCATCTTTACATTGTCACAAAACAGGAGAGCTCAGCATGCTTAGTATGCTGCTTTTTTTTTTTTTTTTTAAGTAAATGAAAACACCACTAAAATGGAACAAGGCCAAACTCTCTGCAGTGAAAGAAAGAAACCAACTGTGTAGACTTCAGGGTGCAGATCTGCATCTGTAACGGTAAAAAATGTGGCTGAATGTTTTCCTGATCTCATTTTTTAAAACGTGTTTATTTGATTTTATTTTACCAGCAAATTTATGCAAGTATGATTTTTATGTAATAATCCCCATATTTTTTTAATTACCTTGCCATAAAACCTGAATAACTCTCCCTACTTTGATCTCCAACACATTCTGGAGAATACTGCACCAGGCATGTCTAAATCAGTTAAGCCATGCACAGAGCTGTTCCTGCAGGGAAGCTTTCCCACATCAGAAGATTGTGTAATAAAACTTAACACAGCTCATTAATTTTCTCTCTTAACCAATGCATCTGACAAGAAGTGACTTTGAAAACCTAAAGGAATGACACAACTCTTATGCTTTGCGTGAAACATCTGTTTTAGCTCCTTTGCTATTACATTGACATCTTTTTATTTGAAAAGTTCCTTTTATTTCCCAACTTCCTGCAATTGGTAATGTATATATCCCAAAGAGCTTAAATTCACAGCTTTTAAAACTTGATTAACTAAATGCTGGGTTAGTCCCGTCCCAGAGGAAAAATGCCTCTTGCACAGACAGATTAAGTGGTACAGCTATGCTTTTTAATCAATTATTAAGAATTTGTTTATTCAAGCAATGTCAGACTTCATAAAGCATCAAAACATACTTCCAACCCCAAAATAATGTAAACACCAATGTGATTGCATATGAAAAATATTAGCATTCTCAGATCTGGAAAATCGATAGAATGCGAGCATGTCATACTGCCTCTCTCATCCATGAAGGCCACAGACAATATCAAATTTCTGACTGTGAAGACCTAAAAAGCTGCTTGCAAAAGTTGAAGTCTTGCATGAGTAGTTAAGGTGATTTTCAGCAGGAGCAAAATACCTTAATTACCATAACTTTTCTTTTAAATTCACATCACTTACCCCCATGTTCTTATTAAGTTATTCCCCTAGATTTTCAGTTCCTGGTAAGTTGGGGAAGAGAAGACCAAAAAAAAAAAAATCCTGGCAGGATTTTTCCAGACCATTTCATGTTATCAAGCATATATCATACGTATATCATACGTATATCATACGTATATAAGCGTACGTATATCAAGCACAGCTAAATTCTGTAAATTGATT